GCTGGATGGCCAGAGTCGATCGGGCCCACTGGGCTTGAAGAGGACACGCGGAAGAGCCAGTTCAACATCATGTCAGGTAACGGCTAGTTTGTAAACCTCGATTAATGCTAATTGTTGATGATGTTGACCACTGGGCCGTTGACTCAACCTGTGTGTTTGTTTGTAGGTACGTCAATGTCATGTCCACACATTAGTGGGCTTGCAGCATTGCTCAAAGCAGCCCATCCGGATTGGAGCCCAAGTGCAATCAAATCTGCACTGATGACCACAGCCTATACCCAAGACAACACCAAGGCCCCTCTCCGGGACGCCGCGGATGGTTCACTTTCGAACCCGTGGGCTCACGGCTCCGGCCATGTCGAACCTCAGAAGGCACTGTCGCCGGGCCTAGTATACGACATATCCACCGACGACTACGTTGCGTTTTTGTGCTCCTTGGACTACACTCTTGAACATGTGCAAGCCATTGTCAAGAAGCCCAACGTTACATGCTCTAGAAAATATTCAGACCCTGGCCAACTCAACTACCCTTCATTTTCGGTCGTGTTCGGGAAGAAACGGGTTGTGAGATACAGCCGTGAGTTTACTAATGTAGGGGCTGCCGGGTCCATATACAGAGTGGCTGTGACTGGACCTCAAATGGTGAGGATTGCGGTGAAGCCCACAAGGCTTGTGTTCAAGAATGTAGGAGAGAAGCAGAAGTACACAGTCACGTTTGTGGCTAATAAAGGTGCAGACAAGACAGCAAGGTCAGAATTTGGTTCAATTGTATGGCAAAACCCACAGCACCAGGTTAAGAGCCCAATCGCCTTTGCATGGACGCAGTTGATAGATTGAGTATGGCTTTGTTCTTTTGGGCATTCTGTTGCTTGGCCTTGAGCAAGTTGGGCCGGAAAGAAACACGGGTGAAAATTGAAGATTAACCAAGAGTTGGGAGTGTTTATGTTTATTTGGTCATTGCCTTGAGGAAGGCAGCTCAAAGGGCAACTGCAAATTCGTTTGGCTAGTAAAAAACTAATGTAATAGAGTGAATGACATACCGATGTTTATAGGTATGCCTTTTTTTATAACATACCCACATGATAATTTCATAGTGGAGTTTGCTTACAATTGGATTGCCCATTTTATATTTTCTTTTTCGAAAATAGTTATTAGCACTCCAAAACAGTCATCATGCTAAAAGAGGAAACAAAAGCTCCCATGAATCCATCTTAACCATTTCGACTGGATCAGAGAAATGGCTCGAGTCACCGAGATGCGTTGTGCGATATTTTTGTCAAGACCAATTGACTGAAACCAATTTTTTTGATCTTATATTATGAAAATTGTATGTGATGCATTGTATATTATGTCAACTTTAGCTTGTAACTTCAAGGGGTTGCAGATGATAAACCACCAACCCAAGATGAAAGTTACTCATATAAAAAGAACACTTATTCAACAGGGAACCAACAATGCAGAGGCCAATACTATAAAACTTACTTCATAGCTCACAATTTTTTTCAGAGCCCTCACTATCTGCAAAATTTAGACTAATTAAATTGAAAAACCATGTTGAGGAACAAAGCTTCCATAAACGTCAAGCATCAATACTACAAACATGTACTGCAGGGGTTACAACAACAGGATATTCTACAACAGCAGCAAGGCCGTAACTTTGGACATTTAGGACAAGAGCATTTCCATTTGAAACAATTGCTACAAGAACAATCAGGACATGAACACGACGGAAAAATGCAACAATTTTTGCTGCAGGAAATATTTTTGCAGCAGCTGGACCGGGGACATGAGCAGCTGGACCTGGGACATGAGCAGCTGGACCAGGGACATAGACAGCTGGACCCAGGACATGAGCAGCCACATCGCCACTTTGGAAGCGGACAGCAGCAGGCACACGGATTACAGTTACACTGACCGCAGTCACAGCAGCGTGGCATTTCTAGGTGAAGAGAGCACCGATTGCAGCAGCAACAGCAAATCCATGAACAGCTAAAACAGGGCATTCGGCTGTAAGACAAACATACTTATGTCATATTCAGAAGTTTATGCATTATAACTAACTGGTTAGAAAAAGCCTGATTTCTTTTGAGTTCATGCTTCTGAACAAGTTAATTTTTTCACCACTGCTAGTTGAATATGAAGGTAGATTAATGTTTATATAGTAGCAAAACAAAAAACAAAATGTATGTGTCCCCCGTTCACTGTTAATTCTATCAATCACAAGAAGGTTAGGGTCTGATGGAGTCTAGATCTCAAATGTTAGAAGTCTTTCCAATACTGAAAGAAAAATGTTCAGAGCACCGCATTCTTATGATTCCGAACCACCAGGAGTTAATTCACTAGTGATTTGTAACCACAACCAATTTGACAGTTTCTAGGAAACAAATGTTCTTATTTCAATGTTTCTATAATGTTTCCACTGTTTTTCTTATTGCAGCATCTGTCAAGTATAAATTTAACTTCTTCTCAATAAGGAGGAGAGAACAAAATTAGAGCATGAAAAACTCACAAACTAACATAATTCTACGAAAAGAAGAAGAAAAAGAAAAAGAAAATGGTACCAAAGCCATTTCCAGAAGCGACATGACCGGCGTTTCTTTCGGTTCCTGCTTGAAAGAGAAAGAAAATCAAATGACCATAATGCTTATAAGACACTCTAAACCAAAAATTTGATGACATTGTTCTTACGTGGGTATTAATGGATCTGGGTTTGCAGCCACAAAATCAGCTACCCTGTAAAATGATCATATTCAATCTATTACCAGTTCACATATACTTAAACTCCTGTGAACCACAAAAAGTAATAGGAAAACTAACATACTCTTTGCAGCATCTTGAAGAAGGTTGAAGGCGTTCAACAGATTTAAGTTCCTCCTGCACAGAAAAGGATAAAATTATTGAAATTATTACCCAAAGACCATACCTACCTGACCTATCCGTCAAAAAACTTTCTTGTTTCCATTATTTGACATGTTAAAGACAAACGGGGCATCGAATGAAGTCAATGGAAAACCTGCCAAACAGCTTTTGAGTGTACAAATTGACAGAAGTACAGAATAGCCACCTATGATGAAACCAGAACACAATAATGTGCTGCCCTATATTCTAATAATTCAATATCACTAATTCACGTTGATCAACGGGTCTCTGCATTAGAAGATTATGCAGAACAGGTAGGAACAGTTCACTGAGTTGATCCCCCATGCCGGCTTGCGGTGAGACAGTGGGGTTTCCGGTGCTGAACAAAGTTGACTACAGTCAAAACAAACCTGTAATCTAAAACTAACTGAAACTATCCAACCACGGAAACAGAGGAGTACCATTCATTTGATCAACCTATAAGATTCCAAGCAAGACACCATCAAGTCATTGAGAGGGTCTGAACTTCCCAGTTAATTCATTCATAAAAAGGAACAAGATTGAAATGGTTTATAGTAAATCAGGATCACTCTCCACCAAGATAATTTAAAAAAATAAAATTATATCTTTAACTTTAAGCTAAGTGTTAAACCAACATATTGTCTAGCTTTATGAACACACGCTTTAGGGGAGATTTTCTTAGTCATGGTTATAGTTCGCAGAAATGAAAGTACTTTTCACTTTTCACATAATTAAGCTAATGAAATTAATAAAAAAGTTAACCTTTCCAATTCCAGCTTCAGAAAAAGAAACCCTTTCAAATCCAAGCAAGATTTTTTATATATCTATACTGGACAACCCATATACAGACATGAACTTCTTTAGCTTGTTTTCACATCAATACAAATTTGGTTAGTTGTCAAGAAACCATAGAAAAGACAGAAAAGACTTGAAATCTTAGAATTACCATCTTTACCCAAATGATAATGACATTCCAAATTTGAATATTTCAACTCAAAGAACTCACATCAATTAACTAGTAAGTAGTAAATCTAGAGCATTTACAAAAAAAGATAAAAAGAAAAAAGGGTGCAACTATACAAGCCAAGTAAAATTTAAACTCACCTCAAGAAAACCAATCTCCCTCTCAAGCATCTGAACCCTGGCTGTTTCTCTGCGCTTCCCATACAAATCTGGATACTGTGGAGGCGACTTTGGGCACGGTGGTGGCAGTGAAGGTACTGATGCAGAACAACCAGAGGGAGCTGCCATTGCTAACCAAAACCCAGTTGTTGAATCACAAGAACTCAGCCCACAAATAAAGAAAAGACAGAGGAGATTTCAGAGTTTAGCAACAGTAGAAATGCTGCTAGCTACTATTACTGCGAAAGCTAGTAATTACAATGGGAGCTCACAAGCACACACACAGCAGAGCTTTAATGGTAAGTGAAAGAGAAAAACAAGAAGCGGCAAACAAATGATGGTAGGTGTGAAAAAATGGTATACAAAAAAGTATGGGGTAGAAGCAGTAATTAGGGTCTCTGACAAGGATAATTACGACCCAGAACCACAAAAGATAAAAAGAGAAGTTGTACAGTGCATAAATGCTCTGAATGATATTGAGCTTTTGCTCTGCAAAAGGGGATTAACGGGAAAGGTTTAAACTTTAAAAGGGTAATTAATTAACAACAAAAGGGGCTATAATGAGGCTAAAAAGAGAGTCATTATTGAAAGTTTCACAGCTCACAAGGCGATGAATGAATGAATGTTTCATTAAGGGGCTAAAAAAGAAAGATGATTCTTGTTCTCGAGGCACATCTTTGTGTTTGCATGGTTGGTAATAATAGCTGAGATAATAGTTCTGATAATATTAATAATGGTAATAGTAAAGACGGCTGTGAAAAAAGCCTGCAACTGCAAGTGTCTGTACGAACCCATTTGGCAAAGTTGAGGGATTTTGATCGGATTTGAGTGAGGTTTTTGGAGTTTGGTTTATGGAAAAACAAGTAAAGAAAGCCCTGTTGGCACTGTTCTGCTAAAAACTAAAGCTTTATGTTTTTATATAGTGAAAGTTCCTTTCTTTCTCTGTTTTTTTTTTCCAATTTTTTTCTAATTTCTCTGATGGGGTGTTGCAGATTTGCAGAGAAGAAGCGAAAAGCACGATGGCTAAGTACCTCAGACCGCACGTGACCGCTGCGTAGGAAAGAGAAAAGGGGTAAAAGGTCGTTGTGTGTTTGGGCAAAACAGAGGGACAAATCAGCCCTGATTTTGAGAATAACTACCATCTGGGTAAAATTTCTTGTCAATTTACCTTTAACCTTGTACCATAACAATTCCTTCCTGCCATCATTCACTCACAATTCTATCTTTAATCAGCACAAGCCTGAATGAAGTAAAAATGGGTTCTTGTTTAATTTTGGAATTGTGGGCCCACCCTTTTACTGTAGCTTGGACAAATGACAACGGTAATATTTTTTCACCCCAACCACTTTTACTGTAGAGTACATTTTGATATTGAAAATATTCTTTTGCACCAAGAACTTTCCCATAATTCATTTTCTACCCCCAAAGTATGGTCTTCTTCTGCATTGTCAGGTGCGGTCAGAGATAATTTAAGCTGAATTTAACCACATGACCTAAACCCTGCAGGCAGAGCTTGAACTTGGGCTTGAATTTTCCCATTCCAGCTACATTCTCAGTTAAAATGGTCCATCAACTCACACACAGCTGGCTCATTAATGGCAACTTCAAGCTCTAAACATGAAATACAAAGTCCCAAGCTTTAGTTTCTATACCTTTCTCACTTAAATAGGTATCCAAAGCTCCACTTTCTGGGTTCTAAATGCACAACTCACTGTTGTTACATGAGTGTGAGTTTAGATTCACAAATTTGTGAAGGATAATACTAATAAGAGACATTTTCATATACAGCATATACAGCAGTTTTAAGGTGCACGGAAACTTGAGTTGATTTTGACCGTTGATGTATGTATAGCCTACAAAATATTTAAAATTAGGATCAATGGGAGTGCATGACCAATTTAACAGCCTAATAACAAAAGTATGACGAGTTTGAGAAGATCACTCATCTTAATTAAACCACAAATACTAATGTTAAATGAAAAATGTTACATTTGGATTTGTTGATTTTAGGTGATAATATAACACTTCCTAAGTAAATAAGGTCGTATGATTAGTAAAGCTTTAAAAGAAACTATATAATAATTGTTTCAAATATTATAAAATATTACAACAATATGAACAAGGGAAGTTATGAATTGGGAAACTTGATATGAGAATTAAGGAATTGAAATCGAATCAACTACTCTACGTAGGTGATTCCATTCATGATTTTGAGGCTATTTAATTATGACATTAAACTTGTTGCCTTCAAATGAATATATGCCTTGACTACTCGATTGAAATAAAATTTCCCATCAACTCTTATCATTTCATGTATGCTTCACAATTTAACATATAAATAGGGATAATTAGATATGCTCTTTTCAGAAATAGAAAAACTTATGTGAAACATGAATAATATTATTTTGTTATTTCTAATTAATTACAAATTTTCATGTAAAAAAGTTATCAAACGTGGCATAATACGATTGATTAGAAATAGCAAAATAATATCATCCATGTTTCGCACAAATGTTTCTCCTTAACCATGTTATAGGGGCCTCAACTAGTTTTTGAAACCGACGCGCCATCGGGGGATGTGAGCACGTTTCTGGAGAAGTGGGCCCTAGTGTGTATTGATCTGATTCATGGATGGGGCCAGGCGGGGGGTTGTGGGGCCCGCGGTGAAGAGACATATCATGCAGGAGGCGATGAATTCCTGCTCTTTCCCAAAGTACCACGGCAAAAGAGCGGTCGCTGATAACGTGTCCAGTGGGCCGGGCCCCAGTTGGGCTGCAAGCCCAAGATACCCACCCTCCCCTACTGTCTTCTTTCTCCTCCCTCCCCCGCTCTGTGATCATGCTAACGTGAGCCGGTGGTGAATCGTATTCGTATCATCGTGTCTTTCTTGATTGCAATAGTTGCCCCTGCAACACTCGACGCGTGTCGCACGTTTCAGTCATCACCTTGATATTGAAGTTGAGCATGTCAATCTAGAAATGGGCCGTTAATAACACAAGTCAGAAAGATGGAAAACGACCCTTGTGTTTTTCTTTTTCTTCTTGTTCAGAAATGACCACAGAACACACAATCCAAAACCACGTTTTTCAGCGAGAAACTAAAGTCTATAAAGTTAATCATATGGAGTCGAATCCTTTGGTTAACTGCAACTTTGAAAGGTGACAAGCATCTCTTGCCCAACAATTCAAAAGGCCAAAGACTCATTTCCATGAACCTTTCGAACCGCAGTAAAATTCAACTCCTACAAGATGCTTAACAGAAATAACTTAAGAACGTGGTGCCAAATTCCCTCTTTCAAAAAGAACGAAACACTCTGGAAATATTCTCTTTTTAGACTTTGAGCTGCCAAATTCAAAGAAGCTCTCAAAACCCCTCTGGGATTTCTTCACTGGTTTACTCAAATCAGGAAACTTGGTATACCTCTTTAGAGATTAAACCAAAAGCCAAGTACCCTAAGGAGATAACATTTTCTTCCACGCCAAAAGTTCCCCCTTTCATTGGCTAACAATCATCCTCTTCAACAAGCAACTTGGTCTATGCCAAAGCATATGTATATACAGATATTCTTCCATCTTATACGCATTGTATTGTATATATTATTACACACACAGTCAAACTTGCCAAACCTTTGAATGTAGAAACCACTAGATCCTTAGGCAACAAGCTTATCTACTTTTCTTACTCTTATCTCTAACTTTGTTTATAAAAAGACCCTCTATAGCATGATTTCAAACTTGAACTAGGCCATTGGTACGTAGAAAATAAAGAGATGGCAGCAAAACCGAGTGTGATTAAGCCTATCATTAGCAAGACGTATTGTTCTTCTTCTCAGGCTGTGCTTGCGGTAAGGAGGAGGCCACATGTAATAAATGGAGGTGGTTTTGTGGTCACAGATTGTAGTCAGAAGGTTGCTTTCAGGGTTGATGGATGTGGAATTCTGGGCACGAAAGATGAGATGATTCTGAGGGATGGTGATGGAGACGCCTTGCTTCTCATTCGTCGAAAGGTATATATGTACAAGTTCAATCATCCATACATCTATAAGAAAAGAAATGTTCTGTTTTGGTTGTGCATATGCTCATGGGGAGATGTTGGGGTTGCTTAATTAATTTCCGTAATGCATTGTTAATTCTTATGATAATGTACCAGGGAGCAATGGTTGAGGCACTAAGCATTTACAGGAAATGGAAGGGCTACACTTTAGACTATGAAGGATTACAGGATCAGTTGGTTTTCTGTTTAAAAGAGCCAAACTCATGTTTGGCAAGAACTCATGCAATCAGAATCTCCACCAAAGCTAGGCAAAACAAAGACTGGGACTTTGAGATCAATGGGTATTTTCCTGATAAAGATTGTAGCATTGTTGACTCTAAAGGCAACACAATGGCACAGGTAATTAACTCATATTCATGAAAGAATATATAAAAAGTTTCATTGTTTGTGAGTTTCTATTGAAATTCTGAATGTTTGGATTTGTTTATTGATCACTATGCAACATAGATAGGGGTGAAGAAGGAGTTGATGGCAAGCAAGGATCTCTACCATGTTGTGGTGACACCAGGCATGGATCACGCTTTCGTTATCGGGGTCATTACCATTCTTGATTACATATATGGTGAATCCACTAGGTGCTAGTAATTCAGATGTTCAAGAGAAGCTGTCCTTGATGTCGCATCAAAACATGACATCTCCACAGTTCAATTTTCTGCAATTTGGATACTGCTAATGCTCTGTTTTGGTCTCTCTCTCTCTCTCTCTCTCTCATTTTTCATTTTTCATTTTTCCCGGATTGTGTTTTAGTTGTGTCCTCCCAACCTGTACTAACTGGGGAGGTATCGTTGCAACTCTTTGATTTGTAACTGGTGATATATACAAGTTTGTGTAAATGAGACTACATTTTACTTTTTTCTTCAAGGATGCATTTCACCTTTATGGTTAAGCAATGGAAATGAAAACCAATTTCACAATGTAAAGGAAAAGCAAACAAGATATGTTAGGGACAGTGGAACAGTGGAATCACTTACGAATGAATCATGTTTTCAGAAAAACTAACGAGACTTGAGATTGGTTTTTGTTTTAACTTGCCATTCCAGAGGAAGCCACAGTCAAATCTAAATGTTCTCTTGCTGTCTGACTGAATAAGATTACAAGAGACTGATAAGCACACAGATTTGTAACAAGAATGATAATTACGCAGAAACTTAACAACTTTGATGCTATTTGCTATCCTACCCAAGTGCTCGTTAAGATTTCTGTCAACAGTTCTTCAGACATCTCAGCTTCATGTCTCTACCATCTTCACGAGAATCGGCATGTGACATGAGCCTAGTTGCCTGCTTCCCTCAACCAACTCATAGTAGTCAATGGAACAGCAGCTGCAATGTCTTGGCAGCTGGTGGTCAACTATAATCTAAATATTACACAGATTAATGATGAATTAAGATTCAGGTCCACTAATCAGAAAATTCATCGGTTGAGTAGTCAAAGAATCTTAAAAAAGAAAAGTGGAAAAGGAGCTTGGCCCCTGCATACCTTGTTTGACCTAAAAAAGACAGAGCATCTTCCCTGACAAACATGAAAAAGACCAAAAGAACATGTACAGAAAATTTCAAGCGCATATGCTTTTGGTCATGAAAAGAACTAACTCCTGGTTAGAAGCCACCTAGATGGGTAATCTAATCTAAGGAATTTCAGAATTTAAAGATAGGTAGGAGAAATGTCAAAAGAGTATGCAAGCATTCTTCAGACATTAAATTTAACGAACCAATACAATACAAAGCATTAGTACAGCAATGTTCTATTACAGAATAGAGGGGTAAAACACGAATAATGATAAGGTTATACAAGTTAGCCAAATTGAATTTGTGGCAACAAAATCGCTGTTTCATATTGACATGGAATCTGTAATACATTTTTCAGGAGAATAATTCAACATCAGTTAACATAGCTGACATTCCAACTGATACTCTGTACAAGATACAACTTTGCTATTACCAATCCAAAGTTTATTCCTCATACATTTACAAGTGACAGCATTCCCATTGATGTGCCTAGCCTAAGGGAGAGAAATATCAAATAAATTGCTATAAGGCCGAGACCTAAGATCTTGTTAGGGCGCATGCCATTCCTGGGTAGCACAACAAGCGACCAAAGAAGCCCTAATACTAGAAATCCCATAGTATAAAACAAGCTACTATCTTTGGGAATTATGAACGGCTCCGGTCTCTTGTTCCAGGCTGCAAGCAGCATTGAGATCCCCAAGCCAGCAAGTGTGTTAAACATAGGCCCGGCATAACATCCTGACATTGCAATCTGTACACCGTCTCCACCATTCATTGCCAGCGCTACATTCGACATTAAATCACCCATGGAGTTGCCCCATGCTAATACAGTCAATCCAAGGACTGACGGATTAATCCCAAAGATTACACCCAATGTCACCAGCAAAGCAACAAGCTCATTTGCAACAATGTAGAACCAGATAATACTCATAAAGAATCCTCCCAAAACCCATGGAAATAAAAATCTGCGAGGGGGTTGGTCAACACGAGTGTGTAGATATGCAAGAACGCCAAAGACACCACTAGAGACAAAACCTATGAAGTACGCAATCTTTTTACTCAGAGATCCCACATCATCTTGGGTATTCCATAAGAATACAAGAAGAATGGGAGCTAACACGGCACTGGAAACAGCATAACCTTTGGACCACCTATCCTCCTCAACAATTGGGATTGTCAAGCGTCTCGGCAGCGTCAATGGAATCTCCAACAGTGATAAAAATTTAAAAGAGGAAGAGTGTTCCTCCATTGTTTCCTCATCGTTCCAACCCCACAATGACCTTGGGCTGTCTGAACTAGCCTTCAGATTCTGATTTGAATAAATTGCCACATTTGAAGCCCACATCCACTGCGGCAACTTACTTTGAAGCTGGGGTACCTCACTGTCAGATTCAGATTCAAGAAGTGAAGCATATACCGAAGATTCATCCTCGTCACTTGCCTGAGAAAATATACTTCCTCTAACCGGTAGCAATGGAGTTACAGCATCCAACCTTAATTTCCGAACATGTTTCCTTAGAACCTCGTTTGCAGCGACCACAAACGCATAAACCACATAAATCAAGACAAATGCTATAGCACCCCCAACAGTAACCTCACCAACCATCAACATGAAGGCAAGTGACATGACAGTAAAGAGGAAAAAACATATATCTCTGATAAAGCATTTCTTATCAATCTGAAACCCCCTATCAGCCACACAGAGAGATATAATCCCAACAACAATACAAGTAACAAAGACAGCTCCACCCAACACACTATTGAGGCCCACTTCGCCTGCATCCTTCCCAACAAAAGCAGCAATGCTGGCAAACACATCAGGAGCACCATTCCCAAGTGGAAGCAGAGACACACCAGCCACAGTCGCTGGTAGCTTCAAGAGACTAGAAAGCTTCTCCAGAGAACAACAAAAGTAATCTGCGGCAGTGTTACCCAATAGATAGAACAAAGCAGCCAACCATATTGCCAACACTACATACCCCAAAATACTAACTTTTTCACAGTCACAATAAAAGAAATGAATGTAATTCAAATACCCACCGGAACTGCACTCCGGATGGGTAATTAAGAACTCACATTTGCTCTGATAACCTTCGTGTTTTAACAAGCCGGTACAGAATTGGGGATGAGTCGCTGATAAGAAATTGGCATCCGACCCATTAACACTTACACTATAATTCGACGAAGAATTATTAACTTCGGCAATTCTCCTGCGAATAATATCAACCCGATCGCCCTGATCACCAAAGACATTAACTTTGGAGCTCCAACGAGGAGGAAGAACAGAATGCGAACTGCCCAGAAACTGGTTTCTGAGAAAACTGTCCTGGTTGTAGAATAAGAAGAACAAAACCAAAGTACAAATTCCATTGAAAACCCCACGAAATTGAGAATTTTTTGCCCCGAAAAAACACTTGGGTTCTATCATGATTTCTCTACCTGCCCCCACCTATCCAACCCTAAATTTCTGAATTTCAGACTCGATTAGACGACGATCGATAAACCCTGAGTAGGGGAATGGAAACAAGTCTAGGGTTTCAAATGGGTTTGGCCAAAGCAAAGGCCTAATTGGTAAAAAGACATCGAATTCTGAAAGGGAGTTGAGAATTGTAAGAGATACAATGATATTTTGATATTATACCAGCCAAAATGTAAGGAATTTGAGGAAGATGTCAGGAGAAGGTACCTTCCGGTAGAGAGAGAGAGAGAGAGGTTTAGCACTCTTTCTGGGTAGAGAGAGAAACAGAAAGAGTGCTAAGAAGAACAAATAAAAGCAGCTTCTTCGTAGTTTCTCAGGTCTGCCAATTGAGGAAGGAGGAGAGAGCAGAGGCCGTGTCTTACCTGCGCGTACCAACAACAATTGTATTCTGATTTTTGGTCCCAAAATCCAAATAGTTGGTGGGAAACTTTACTGGTCTGGCTCAGAAGTTAGCTTTCTTAATGGGCCAACCCAGCCCACCTTATAAAAGGCCGGGTAGAAATGGCCCATAGTCCTACTTGCTGGCCTTACCTTCATGACTAAAATTGTAATTTTCAAGGAAATATATTACTAATTATATAGCGGAAAATAAATAAACAAGAGTGAGAATTTTTGCATCACTACAATTGGTACAATATGAATAACATTTGAATGAAAAATTAAGATTAGCATTGAAATGTCCCACTACAGAAACCTTTCCGTACAACTCGTGCCTCGTCTAAATTCTAACATACCATCCCACTCATTTCATCACTTTTGCTTAAACTCAAGACTTGATCTTTCCATTATTCTATCGTTTTTGGACCATAGGAAAGAAAAAGGCTTAACCTTTCAGCCTTCTACGAGTATGGTAAGCTTGGCAAACAGTGATATATAACCCCTCCGATTGATTGAGAACTTCCCATGCTTGCTTGCTACCAAAATTTGGTCATCTTTGTATGGGCTCTCTATGTGTGATATGTGACATGTGATATGGTAGCTCAGTCAGCTAGCATGTGAGCTGGGGCCTGGTTAGCTTAGTAACTAACAGGTGCATTCATGTCCGTATAAAACTCATATGGCCATTGTGGATTTGGTCAAATCTTTGATTTTCATATATATATATATATACATCCACCGGTGAACTCATGTTTGTATACTCAACATGTGATGATCACGCAACCCAATTTACGTTTGTGCTTGACATGTGTCGATCTTTTTGGAAGATAGTGATTATATATAACTGTGGCGTGACGCTATAGCACTCTCCACTTTATACGAACAAACCCAGCAGTAAATTAGCCACTCTAACTCACTAATTTCAATCATTTTATCCATCGCTTCTCATAAGCTATCCACTTATCATTGTCTGGCCTCCGGTAATTGATTTTCAACTTCTGATCATGTCATGTATTGATGTGCTCTTCTCGATCTTCTTCTTCTTCGTTTATTTCTTGTTTTGTTTTGATGTAATGAATCCTAATACACAGAGATATTGAATATGCAGAGATGGGTTTTGCCGAGAAAGAGTATGAGTTTCTAAGCGAGATCGGTCTGGGTCCCGAGAATCCTGGTGGCTTTATCAATGGCAAGTGGAAGGCAAGTGGCCCAGTTATCTCTACTGTTAACCCTTCTAACAATCAGGTTTGAAACTTATTTTTAATCTCCATTTTCTTCATCGATGATTGATTTTTTCTTTTCTGTTATATAAAGATATAATTTTGATAAGAATAACTTGAAGATTTGAGTTCAATCACGCAAACCCAGAATTTCAATGTTTCTAATATATTTTTTGTGCATTTGGATGTTAGCAAATTGCTAAAGTCACGGAAGTGTCTATAGAAGATTATGAGGAGGGCTTGCGTGCCTGCAATGAAGCAGCCAAGACATGGAAGAGTGTCAGTTCTTGTTATTTTCGTTACTTTTGATACATCACAAGTTACAACTCAGAGTTACTGTGTGAAATTTGTATGCTTTAGACATGTCTTTATTTTACAAAGTTAATATATTTTTGGTGCAGCTCCCAGCACCAAAGAGAGGTGAGATTGTTAGGCAAATAGGAGACGCATTAAGAGAGAAATTGCAGCATCTGGGTAGGCTTGTGTCCCTCGAGATGGGAAAAATACTTGCTGAAGGAATTGGGGAAGTTCAGGTATGACAAAATGATACCTTAGTTAAAATTTCTTATCTTATTCATCTGTTGAGTTGTGAATGAGCTTTTGAAGAAGTTCGCTATTGTTGCCCTTTAGTGTTAAGATGGAATTTTCAGTTACCCTTCTTGTAGGCATAATCTTTTTTAAAATTTTGAAGTCCTGACCACTACTTTTTGCAGGAAGTTATTGATATGTGTGATTATGCTGTTGGACTGAGCCGACAACTGAATGGATCTATCGTACCTTCCGAACGTAAGCTCAAAATTTGTATTTCTTGCTAATTTTTATTTTATCCTCCTCTTTTGAATTGCTTCATGAAATTTTAGAAGCTCCACAATGAATATCTGGTTGCTAAGTCAACATAATAGGCCCTTGTCTGCGTTTTGTTTGCAGGTCCAAATCATATGATGTTTGAGGTGCATTACTAGATCTTACCTCGAACCTTGATCAATTTGTATAATACTATTAGAACTTTGACCATTTTCTTTTACGTGATTCAGATTGATTTTGGTGCATTTAACGTGTGCATTTTTATACACCACAGGTCTGGAATCCATTGGGGGTAGTTGGTGTCATCACTGCTTTCAATTTCCCATGTGCTGTTCTTGGTGGGTTCTTGTTCTGTTTTGTCTTCACAGGCCTGAAACATAAGTTAAACAGCTGCTTTGTTATTATGTACAACTATCATGACGCTGGATCTATTGTGCGTTAAAGCATCCAAGAAATTGAGGATTTAGTGTCAGCATCGATCTTGCTTTTTTTATTTACTGTGAAATTTTAGAACTTAGAAGCATCCACTATCATATATTCTACCCTAAGCAAATATGCCTTAGCTATCTGTCAACAATGATCTTGGCATTTCATAGCTGCAATGATCTTCACTGATTGTTGTTTCGTTCACTTGTTTATCAGTGCAGTAATCCTCTGTGCGCCATGGAAACCTTGTCATTGTCACTGTATAACATATAATTATAATACATAATTAAGGAGCAGAAGGATATATTGAAAAGTAATTTGTTTATTAAAGATGTGCTTTATTTGTCACTGTAATTCACTGAATGCGTTATAAATTTTAAACTGCAAGATTTCCAACCATACTTCTTTCTTTATTTGGTGATTTAGGATGGAACGCCTGCATTGCATTAGTCTGCGGTAACTGTGTTGTATGGTAAGTTTATAAGTGCTCCTGATTTCAGAATTGGAGTTTTGATCAATTTTTCAATTCAGTAATGTCAGAGCATAATATAGGTATTTAAGTGTACTCACAATATCTTGACTGATTCACTTTTATACTACGAGATATCTTAAGTTAATATAACATATTTTTTAAATCTATTGAGTTTTATTATATTATTTTGTTAAAAAGATATACAGGTTTTATAATAGAGTGGTTGCTTGTGATGTTTATGCATTGTAGGAAGGGTGCACCAACAACTCCATTGGTAACTATTGCTGTGACAAAGCTAATTGCTGAAGTTCTTGAAAAAAATAACTTGCCAAGTGCTATATTCACCTCTTTCTGTGGGGGAGCTGAAATTGGTGAAGCAATAGCAAAAGACACACGGATACCCCTGGTTTCATTCACTGGAAGCTCAAAGGTACACTGGTCGTGTACTTGTGCCTTTTTAAATTTTTGCTTTTCTCCCCATCACCATGACGCCAAGCTTATCTTTCACATTACCAAATATAGGTAGGTTCGAAGGTGCAAAAGATTGTCAATGAGAGGTTTGGTAAATGCTTACTTGAATTAAGTGGAAACAATGCCTTAATTGTTATGGATGATGCCAACATTGGGCTGGCAGTGCGTTCTATCTTGTTTGCTGCTGTTGGTACTGCTGGTCAACGCTGCACAACGTGCCGCAGATTGGTAACTATTTATCCTTTAAAATTCCATTTTGGTGATTTGATGTGGTTATAGAAGTAAACTTTCTTTCCCCATGGTTTTTCTTTGCTTTGCTTTTATTTTTTCGCTTGAAAATAAAATGTACAAATTTGTGTTCATATGGCTTCACTGGAGTGCAGTATCTTCACGAAAGTATATATCAAAGTGTATTGGATCAACTAGTTGGACTTTACAAGCAAGTCAAAATTGGGGATCCTTTGGAGAAGGGAACTCTAGTCGGGCCAGTACATACTCAGGCTTCGAGAGAGAACTTTGAGAAGGGGATTTCAACCATAAAATCTCAGGCATGTTCTATGTCTCTTGGAGAAGCATGCACACACACACTCACACTCAACCCCAGAGCAAAAAAAGATTCTCATGTCTTACATGTTGTAATTTACTTATTCAGGGGGGGAAGATCCTTACAGGCGGATCGGTTATAGAGTCAGATGGCAATTTTGTACAACCGACAATTGTCGAGATTTCTTCAGATGCCTCTGTGGTGAAAGAAGAATTGTTTGGCCCAGTTCTCTATGTTATGAAAATTAAGGTAGTCTTAACTTATTAAAGGTTTCTCTTGCATTATTGTTTATTATACCTTTCTTCTCGGATAAAATGTTGCAACTTTTTGTTTCAAAATATGCAGGCTCTTGAAGAAGCAATTGAACTGAACAATTCGGTACCACAAGGATTGAGTAGTTCAGTCTTCACAAGCAAGCCAGAAACTATTTTTAAATGGATTGGGTGAGTTTCTAAAGTGGGCAACGACCCTAGAAAGTGACACTGGTTTCATGACAAATGAACATTTCAAACTACAGTGTTTAATTGTTTTCATTCAAATATGATGCAGGCCACATGGTAGTGATTGTGGTATAGTGAATGTAAATATACCTACTAATGGAGCTGAGATTGGTGGTGCCTTTGGCGGAGAAAAGGCAACCGGCGGTGGTCGTGAAGCAGGAAGTGACTCCTGGAAGCAATACATGAGACGTTCGACATGGTAATCTTTCGTGACACTTTCTGATTTGCTCGAATCCTGTCTTGCATATCTGCATTGATTGTTGGACTGTGTACATGGATATTTCATCAATAACTTGAATGCTTTCTATCGTTTACAGTACGATCAATTATGGGAGTGAACTACCACTTGCTCAAGGTATAAATTTTGGTTAAGTGAACCAGACTTCCCGGCAATGCTCAGTATGATTTCGAGTTCATGACAGGTCAAGGAAGGTACGTTCAGCAGAATCTGCTGTCAAGGTTACGAGTAGCCTGCCAGCTTGAATGTGCCAAAGGAAACCTGAACAGATGTTTATGACGTTTATGATGCTGATGCCAGATTTCTAATCTTGATAAATAAATTGGAACTTTCTTCATCTTTGTTGAGAAATAAAAGCAGTCAATTTCTGAATGGTTTGGCTTGTTGGTTTGCGGCATTTGTGCTTTTGCTTTTCGGCTCGTATCCAAGAAAAGGGCCCAACAGATGTTTTATAGTGCAAGTTGATAACCCTGTTGGGGTCCGACAAACTTAGATAAGATAGCTACGAATGACAACCTTAAACTTCGACCTGTCTGAAAGTCTTGACCTTTTCACTAACTCAATCCATCTAAAACTAGTTTCTGGCTTGCTCATCTTATTATGTTACCAAGACTGACAGGGCAAGCACTGAAATACCTTCGTGCCTTGGCCAAGATATCTCCGATGATCCTTTGAGCATTGGTCGTGTACAACCGGCGATAAGAAAAATTATGCTAGTTGATGGTAACAGATAATTTGTACCACTATGAAAATTGTCGACCACTAGTCGTATACAACCGGTGATAGGTAAGAAAATAAAAAAAAACTGCCAGTTAATGTGAACGGATAAACTAGGTGACCATGAAAATTGGTCGAGGGGGACAGCTTCCTTGCAAATTGCTCGAGCAGAAGTGCAGAGCATTTCTGTTTTTAGCAAGGAAGGCTCTTTGTCGATCGAGTCATCTTCTTCTTTCGGTCAAATGCTATAGATGGTAATGAAAATATGTCTGAACTGTTTTACCACTTGGAAGGAATACTTCGAAATTATTACATGCATATGTACATTATATAATATTATAATGTGACAGTTGCACCGTCACATGGTGTGTAACGCTCATGCTAAACGCTAGCATCAATGGCTGAACTGTTTCTATGTATATTGTTGACCCCTTTGTTGTCAAATGCGGGGCCACCGAACTTCCATAATATCTTATGTCAAATCGTGGACGGTTTAATAGATTATGAACCGTCATAATCCATTCTAATGCAGTGGCATGGTAGAGTGAAGAATATTAGGGCCATGATTAATTTAGCACTTGAAAAAAGAGGCCATAGTTTTATCATAGGTTTAATTGCCCAACAGAAACTTCTTCTGTGATTGATGCCAAAGTCTTTCTGAAATCAAACAGATGCCTAGTGACATTAAGAATGAAGCAGTATCACAGAAGACAGAGAAATACCACTAAATTAATAGTTAGTCGGTAACATTATTAAAATTTCAAATAACCGACTGCATTCACTCGAGTTGTTTTGACTTTTAAAACACAAAAATCAGAAGAAGAAAAAAAACCTTGAACCTGACCCGAGTGAATGCATTCGGTGACAATCAGGCTGTCCCACAGATCGTGTATTTTTTCTTGTCAGATGCGATATATTCTAAGTGTTCAGACCTGGAAGAAATATCCAGAGACTTCCTTCCAGAAAGACAGTCTAGTGGCACAACACATGGTAGAAGTGGAAAGTGGTGTTGTCTTTATATTGGCTGACTGAATATCAACACATAATGTGTTCATCACTTTGCCGCATTGAGGGAGAGTGGATTGGAACAGAAGTTTGCAAGGGTGAACTTGGTGGTTTTGGATCAAATAGCATAACAATTGCTTTCCTTATTTCTTTATGGGAAATTTCTCAGCAATTTCATTCTGTGTTTCTGAATTCTCTCTTACCTTTTTTTTTTTCTTTTTTTTTTCTTTTTTGTTTGTTTTCAAATAAGCCATTTTACACAACTGGGCATGACTGAAACAGGAAAGAAACCAGCTAATTAGTAATTACACCAGAATAAAAGGGAAAATGCAGTGGCATCACTTTCATGAATTTGTATACAGGAACCAGACCCTCTATATACACTCAGTTAATGGTGCTAGATTTATTTCCATTAATTTGTCAACCCTTTTGTATAATTCATGTACCTTGACCTTGATCACACAACCATGTCATTCATGTTCCTTCAAACAACAAAACAATGTACAAACTCTAGAGAAACAAAATGAAAAAGAAAAGAAAAGAATTTATTTGAAGCAAATTAAATTATGGAATATATATACATTGAAAAAGTCTAGAGAAACAAACAATCTTAGATCAGTCATATTAGTTATCTCAGCAATTATCTTAAAAATCCATTAAGATCAATCCATTAGAGCGCAAAAAAAAAAACAGCCAAAATTACCCAATTTGTTATCATATCTAAGAAAAAAACAGAGTTCCTCTGTTTCATATGTACCTGCAAAGTTTGCTCTAACCATTCACCTTGACAGAGAAGAGAAGCAACTTCCTGAACGAACAAGCGCTGGGCCGCGAACACTTTCGACACCATCAAGAGAAGAGCTAGAATTTGACCTGAGAGCTCTCGGAGTATCCAAGCTCCGCCTGAAAACCCGACCCATGGCAAAGATGGGGTGCTCTGTTTCTTTATGCAGAGGACTTGATGATCTGAACTTCCTGCAAAAATTTATGTGGCGGTTCAGTGCTTCTTCGGTGGAGATGAGCCTATCTGATCTCAAGACTTCATCTTTCACGGCCTCAACGCAGAGCCCACATATCCAACGGCCCTGGTAACGCTCCCGGACTCGTGAGATGTATGCAAGGGTGCAATCCTCCGTGAACCCACAAGAGTCGCATTTCACACACTCGACTTCGATTGGTGGAGGAGTTGGGGTTGGTTTTGTAGAGGTTGAATGAGACTCTGAACTTGTTGTAAGAGCCATGGAATGAAGCAGAACATTGAACTCTCTCTCTCTCTCTCTCTCTCTCTCTCTCTAAGACTCTGTGTGTGTTTTTATGTGTGTTTCTTTGTGTTGTGGGAGGAGGAGAAGGGGAGAGAGAGTAGAAGTCTAAGTTATTTGGATTTCTTGTAATTAAAGTGTTGCTATAAAAAAGGGGTTTGTGTCATGGATTTTTTTACTATTTAGCATTTAGCCAGGGGCCAAAAATGGATTTGCATCATTTTGTGTCATTAGGTGAACACTGGGTCATGGGGGAATTTATGAGACTCAAGGTCATTATTTTGGTAACTACCTCTTTTTGTTTTTGCCAGTATTGGGTAAATAAATACATTCAATATATCCCAATCATTGAACTTTTGGGCCTATTTTATTAGGACATGTTTGGCATGGAAAACAAAACTCCATCAAGACTTCATTTAAAACAAATATATATTTAATATATTGGATTAAAGTAGAGTTTAAACCCATTAGAAAGAAAGAATATTCTAATTAGAAGCAGCTAAATTTTCTCAAAGTCAGTTTCCCTACCATCTTTGAATTCTTCTTCTAGCAATTTGAGATGGTTAGATTTCCCCAAAGCTCTCAATCATATGATGTTCCCAGGAAGATGTTGCGGTCGATTTGACAGTAACATGACCACTGAATAGATAACCCTTATCCTAAACACGTTTGAAACATGAGAGAGACTCTCTCTCTCTTCTTCATCATGATTAATTGAAAAGGAAAATAATAATAAGTTTTAGTGAGACTCGATAATTCAGAGTCACTCACTGGCTTCTCTATCTTCCTGACAGCTGCAATTTTCAGCCACAAATTAACTCAGACAGCAATGTGAATGTTTCACAATATTGGCAACATTCTCATCCATATTAATCTTCTTCCGGCAAAAGCAAACACACCTCACTGCAGAAAAGTGGTCCCATGGCTCTCAGGCATTTGCTAACCTCATTTGTTCTGGCATGTTTGCTTGCATTCACTCTTCAAATCTACTTCTCCTCCCCAATATCCCCAGTCTCACTTCACCTGCCTCCACCATCTTCTGCTTCCCATCTTCCTAAAAACAACATATTGCAGGTGAAGCTTCAAGTTTGTGTTAATAACCTTTAACTTTGTGATTATCTTTATGTTTGTCTGTTTAATTACTTTGCTTGTTATCATTAGTTCATTGCTTTGTCTTTTTCTTTCTCCTTTTTTGGGTTTCTGTAGAAAGTGATCAAACTTGGGGACGGGGTACTTCTGAAACCAGAAGATGTTGATGTGGACAAAGAAGGGACAATATATACAGCTACAAGAGATGGTTGGATCAAAAGGCTTCACAAAAATGGTAACTGGGAGAACTGGAAAAGGGTGAACAGTGATACAGTACTTGGGATCACAATCACCAAGGAAGGTGATGTTGTTGCATGTGATACTGAAGAGGTAAGAGCACCCCCTCTTATCCCCTTGTTTATGCCTACGGCCTGGTTAAAGCCGAGCACTCTAGTCTTATTTTTCGAAAAAGACTTTCATTGCAACGAGAATAACACTTTTTGCTATTCCGGTTAATAATACAATGACATGTGAGATAATTTTTTCATACGTCATTGTGTTATTGACCGAACAGTTACAAGTAAGTTTTTCTGCTTATTTTTCTGCATGTTACTGTGATTTGTGCAGGGTTTGCTTAAAATTACTGAAAATGGTGTCAAGCTTCTCACTTCACATGTTAATGGGTCCAAAATAAGGTAAGAGGAGGTACACTATAAAGACCAATATGGTATAACATGTTTCTGACTGCATGTGTAGTCAGATAATTTTTCGTTCTTGAAATGTGCAAAAAGCTGCAAAATCAATTGATTTAACCTTCAGATAAAAACTACATGAACACAAGTTGGCTGTGATTTCATCCAACTGTGGAAAATGGCTGGAGAAATCAATGCGCTCACTTGAAAAAGAGCCATGTGCAAGCCATGCCAAATATTTTCTGATGTGACACAGAACAGAACAATCCAATAGGTCATCTTCTGTTGTGAGGTGTGGCAGTTTCCTCACGAAATTGGGATTTGTACCATCTAGCGATGGTACTGTGAGGAATCTTTTTTCTCATTTTGGTTTTATATTGGGACCGATTTCGTCCAAAAAATAAATAAATTTGGGACCGATTGCTACATGTCATGCACATCATGGTCTGTTGGTATTCGATATGAATCCATGGCTGTTGCAATTAAAGTTTGGTACTTTTTCTTTAGGGTTTTGTTTGGACATTTAATCTGAGATTTTTTTCTTTGATAGCAGCCTGTGTTTTTGTCTGATGCATTAACTCTCTTCTGCCAAAGCATATCCAATAGAAATGCAAAAACATGGTTCAATAAGACCATGTTGGTACGAACCCCACAAATATTCCACCCGTGTTTTTCATGGAGGTACCAGTGGACCCAAAGGGATCCTGGGTCCACAACTCTCTGACCCAGTAACGAAGGATGCATGTGCTTCTTATCACAAAATAAGCCCAATAGATTTGGTAACAATTGAAAATAAATGCATGGCCCAATAAATGAAAAGATGTTTTTTTTTTTAAGAGTGGTAATTTCCCCACTCTTTTTTCTCCTATTTTATCCACTTACACTCCTTTTTTATAACTAAAAAAGGAGTGTAAGTGGATAAAATAAGAGTGGGGAAATCATTGCCCTTTTTTAAATATAAGCAATAGTCTAACTGCAAATGAATGAGAGTTTCTCAAGCACACTCTATCAAGATGCCACTTGAGGGTTCAAACCCGAGACCACTGCTCTACAAGTTTCCACTGGGCTAGATCCGTTGACATAAATGAATAGATTGAATGTAGTATTATGGATGTGAAAATTTATTTGTCATGAGTTTGATATCTAAGTGTGGCTAGCCTTAGGTAGCGTTTGGTAGTGCTTAAATTTTTAAAAAAGCTGCTTTAATAAAAATTTTGCCAAACCATGGTGTTTGGTAAACCTCAGAAATCAGCTTTTAAAAAAAATTGCGGTCAATGACCGCTGTTTTTCCAAAGCAGGCATAACCCAGCTTTTAAAAGCTGCTTTAAAAAAAATTTAACCGGTGGTTTAATGAATGTTTTACTTTCCCATAATGCCCTCACTTATTTTTCAAATAGACAGTCCTTGTCCCTCCAATACAAATCGAGCGACACAGCAAACTCCTATTCTTCTCCATTCTGCAGACTCCCATTTTCTTCTTCATTCTGTTCATTCACAACCATCCCTCTTTCTATTCGTTCTAACTCACATCCCTTTTTCTATTCATTGTCTGCAACAAACCCCACCCAAGCTCCAACCACAACCACAACGTCCGACCATGGGCTGTAGACGACGAAGATGACAGACAAGCACTGATGGCAGACGACGATGACAGCGATGATAGACGACGAAGACTCCACAGCTTGGACTGTAGACGACGATGACGACTGTGCAAGGAGGACGACTTCTCTGGGGAGAGGGAGAAAAATAGAACAAGGAGAAGGAGTAGAAGAGAAAAATTGCAGAGAGAAAGGAGAAGAAGCAGGTGAGAGGAGGAAGGAGAAGAAGAAGATGAAAAAGAGGCAGCTGAAAGAGACGCAGAGATCTGGGGGAAAAAAAGGGGGTTCCCAAAAAAAAAAACAGATACAAAGAGACGAAAATGTTCTGACTCAAAAAAAGTGTAAATTAAAAAAAGAAAAAAAAATGTAGCTTAAAGGTTTTTTTTTTTAAGAAGAAAAAGAAATAAGAAAACAACAAATAATTTCATCATGATGCATGTCCTTTTTTGTCATTATACGTACTAAAATCAATTTTGATAAAAATTTACCAAACACTTTGATTACTCACAGCACTTTTTCAAATATAGTTTACCAAACGCCTAATTGATTTTTTTCACAGCTGATTATTCTTGCAGCACAGCAGAAGCAATTTTTTTAAAAGCACAGCAATGCCAAACTAGCCCTTATTGTATTCATGTTGAAATCAGATTTGCAGATGATGTGATTGAGGCATCAGATGGCAGTCTATATTTTAGTGTTGCAAGCACCAAATTTGGACTCCATGATTGGTATCTAGATGTGCTAGAGGCAAAACCACATGGGCAGCTCCTCAAGTACGATCCTTCATCAGGGGAGACTTCAATCCTACTTGATAATTTGGGTTTTGCTAATGGAGTTGCAGTGTCCAAAGACCAAGATTATCTGGTGGTCTGTGAAACATGGAAGTAAGCTTGATGATGTGACTAACACTTCTTGCTCATTCATCAGTTAGGAAAAACTTAAACCAAATTATCATGTAATAATATTGCGTTTATGGGTCAGATTTAGGTGCCAAAGGCATTGGCTGAAGGGAGAGAACAAAGGGAAGACAGAGATCTTCATTGAGAACCTTCCTGGTGGACCTGACAACATCAATCTTGCCCCAGATGGATCTTTCTGGATCGCTCTACTTCAGGTAATACAACCTTAATTAAGTTCATCTTTTTATTTATTGAACCACGAGAAATTCTTCGGTGTGACTGTTACAATGTCACATGGTGGTTATACATACAGTATAACGCAATGTGACAGTGCCACCTCTTTCCCAAGAATTTTTGGTAGAGCATATGCCAACTAGAATGACATGTTTGGATGCATGACACAGTTGACTACAGAGGGGCTGGAGTTTGTCCACACCTCCAAAGCAGCCAAACATTTGATAGCATCATCTCGGAAATTGACTGAACTAGTCAGTGGCTTGCGCACAAAAGCCATGGCGGTGAATGTGGCAGCTGATGGTAAGATTGTGAAGAAGCTTGAGGATCCAGATGGAAGCGTGATGTCGTTTGTGACAAATGCTTTGGAATTTGAGGATCATCTTTACTTGGGAAGCCTGCACACCAATTTCATTGGCAAGTTGCCACTCAAAGATGCATTAATTACCTAATTGCTAGCATCACTAGCATGAACCAAAATGAATAAGAGGCAATGGGACGAATGGATTGTTTCACAAACCAAGCTTATTTTTTAATGCTCTTTCTGTAGTAAGCTTTAGTTATATCCCAGCCAACCTTTCGTATCAGTTTCCCAAAGGAAGAAGGTTAATGAGATGAATCCCCTGAATTCATAGACAAGAAAGAAATGCTTAAATTCTTTGCCATCACGGTGTAAAACGGTAAA